TCAGGAAGGATGCATCTTCTTTGGGGTTGCAGGTGGGGGCTGGGCAGCGTGGAACCTCTGGGCAAGGCAGTCATTGGGTCAAACCTGTCTTAGTTGCTGAGCATTCTAGGGTACACGTGGTCACCAGGGAGCTTGGTCTATAAAAATGGAAACATAGGGTCTGATCTAGTTCCAACATAAAGGAAAACCTGAGGTTTAGCCAGCCAGTCCGCCATTCACCTATCCTTCTATCCACTCACGCATCCATGCATGCATCCATTCATCCATCCATTCATCCTTACATCCATCCATCCATCCACTCCTCCTATCTATCCATCCACCTATCCATCTATACGTCTATCTGGCTACCCCCTTCCATCTTTCCATCCATCTTTCCATCCATTCATCCACCCACCCACCTACCTGCCCATCCATCCATCTGCCTGTCCATCTGTTCTTCTTCTAGCCTTCCTTCCATCTTTTCATCCATATATCCATCCATCCATCCACCCACCCTTCTATTCCTCTACCTGTCCATCTAATAATACAGCTAGCCATCATTCCATCCACTCACTCATTCATTCATCCATCTATCCATCCACTTATCCACTTTTTCATTCAACAAATATTTATAGAGTCTTAGTTCTGTGCCAGGTACTATGCTAAACATGCGGTGGGGTTGAAAAAAAAAAGAGAGAGAGAGGAGAAGCACATCCTACAGCTGCTCCCATATGGGGAGATGGGAGCTATCAAGGAGAAGCCTTGGGAGGGGTGAAGAGGGTGTGGGTCTGATGTTCAGCATCAGAAATGTGGGACCCAGGATGTCTGGAGGGTGTCCAAGTGCAACAGCAACTGGGTACTTCAGGCTGGAGGTGAGAGGACAGGCCATAGAGACTCGGGAGGTATCTAGACACTTAGGGGAGAGATCTACAGAAAAGAGACTGAGGTGCTGGGCAGAGGGAAAGGAGGAAGACAAGGCGACAGTGAGCTCACAGAAGGTAGCAGAGGAGGTGGTAGCCCTATTCCCTGCCTGGAGTGCCCACTGGTCCTGCAGCATGGAGATCATGGGATGCCTTGACTCCATAAAGCATCTGCACCCCAGAGGGAGGATGAGCAAATATGAGAGGAGGGGACAGCAATGAAGGGGAATAGGAAAGGGGGCAGGGCTGGAAGGGAATAGAGGATCAAGGAATTTGGGAGGGGAAGGGTTAGGTATTTATAGGATGGGAGATGGAAGGCTTGGCTTTGGGAAGGGGAGTGTCAGAAGGTTTCCAGGGCCCAGGCAGGGTGTGTGGAGTTTGGATGTGGGAAGATCTCCATCTAATGGCTTTATTTCATTAATGCTGAGAGTGAGGGAGGAGAGAACACCCTGTGCTTCAGTCCAAGGACCCATTTAGGATCTGCCTATAGGACAAGAAAGGAGGGGTGGGGTAGCAGCATAGGGCTCTGGCTTTGCACTGCATGCTGAGCCACTGAGGGCCATGGTGGTGCCGCAGGGTTGGAATGGAAGGTGAGAAACAAGGAAACAATCTGATTTGGTGGACCAAGGGCCATAATGTGCCAGGACAGGGATGGGGCCAGGAGAGGGTATCTATGCAGAGGAGACCCTGGACTGGGAATTTTGATGAGACTGAAGGACTTAGCGGTGGTAGGACAAGGGCACCTAACAAGAGGCAGAGGAGATGGGGAGAGCAGCGCAGGAAGGCAGGAACTTGGTGATGGTGTAGCTTCTGGTAAGGACCAGGTCCAGGGTGTGCCCAGGAAGTGAGTGGCTGAGAGGAGGAGGGAGGACAGTGGAGATGAGGACCACAAAGGCCAGCATGCTGGTGAGTCATCTGTGTGGATGTTGAAATCATGGGGAACAGGATGGCCTGAGTTGGGGTGATGGGAGCTGGAGAGGCAGGAACAGAGAATGAGGGGAAGTAACAGGACTGCAGCTGCTGACAGCCTTAGTGGGGAGCAGGTGGTACCATTAGAGAAAGGAGATGACCGCAAGGAGCTTCGACTGCCAGGCATGTGCAGGGGAGAGCACTACTACCTCTGGGGCAGGAGTCCTTAAGAAAGTGAGGTTTCAATTAAGCAGAAGGGATGGAGGAGGACAGTCAGGTCTACAGCAAAGTCTGCTGATCATTCAGGGCCTGGTGGAAGTGAGTGAAGACAGGGGCACTGGGACAAGAAAAGAGAGACTTGCACAGGTGGATAAAGGGTTGCCAAGGACAATGGATGGTCTCTCTGTTTAGTATAGTGATATGGACGCTTCCTTTGGTAATATGATAGCCTCTGGGAAGGGAGATCCTACAGGCCCCATTCCGTATCCATCAGCCCACTCTGGCATCCACCCTTCCATCCACAATCCACCCATCCATCCATTCCTATCCACCCACAGTCCAACCATTCAGACCCTATCAACCCATCCACCTACCACCCTTTCATTTACCCATCCACTATCCACCCATCCACCATTGATTCATCATTTCATCCATCCACTATCCATCTACCCACCATCAATCTACCCACCTATCCACCCACCCATTTATTCATCTGATCATCCATCACCCATTCTACCATTATTGAATCTCTCTTCCATCTTTGGTGTGTATCTTCTCTGTACTGAATTTAGGAATGTGAAGAAAATATAGCCTCTCCCCAATGTGAGCAGAAAACCATAATTCAGTCTGAGAAGTGTTCTAACTGTAGGGGCCCAGGGAGCCAAAGCTGCTTGAGTAACACTGATTGCCCCACCAGGGGAAGAGATGTATGAACTGGGCCCAGCGCGCGGGGGCTCCCATTAAGAAAGGAAATACAAATGTCCAGGGATAAAAGACAGGTGAAGACAAGACTTCAAGATATGAAAAGTCTGGCACTTTGGGACAAAGGTGAGAGCTCTGCACCTCTCAGAAATGTGTCCGGAGATGAAGCTGGAGAGAAGGGCAGTGGGCAGAGTCCTGGCATCCCCCTACTTTATCCGGAAGCAAAGGGAGCTGCCCAAGGAAGTGGGGCTGGCATCTGCCACAGCTGCATGGCCAGGGGTGCCAGGTGTGTGCCTTGGATGTGTACCCCAGGGGACCATGGGCCTCCCTGGGTGTCCCAGGGCAATGCTGTAGGCCTCACCATGGGCATGCACAGGCCTGGGGCAGGTGGGTGCTGGCAACCATGCCTCTCCTCTGGTGCCCACACACAAGCCTCAGGCCTGACCCCCAACTGGTCCACTGGGAGGGCCCATTCTCTCATCCCCTGCAGGTCCAGACCCAAGCCCACTGTCCCTCCTCTTCTATAGCTCAGAGGCCAGTTGTCTGCTTGCTGTGGCTTTATTCACCTTCCACTCCCTGGAAAATCCTATTTTTCCTTCAACACCCAGGCCCTAACTCCTAGAGGGGAGCTTTCCCTTTGCAGGGCACCCCCTTCCCAGTAGCCTTGCCCGGAGGTGTGCAGTGGAGGCTGGTGTGCATGGAGGGCTAACACTCACCCTAGGGAGGATGAATCTGGTGGCAGAGCCCCCTGGCCTGACTGCCAGGAGGGGGTGCACTGGGTTCAGGCTGGGTCACAGTGGCCAGGTGAGTGGCCTTCTGAGGGTGGTGGTGCAGCCCAGTAAGAGGGCCTCGTTTTCCCTGTCTGTACAATGAGACTAGATGTTCAGTGAAGACCTTCTCCTTCTGACCTGCTGTGGTGGGGTGCCTAGAAAGTTTTGGCCAGCAGGAGGCATGGAAGGGAGGGGCGAGCCAGGCCCTGGCCAGTGGCCATCCTGTCCATGTGATCTGAAATGAGATCTTGGTGTACACAGCATGCCGTCCTGGTACTGCCTCCTAGGGCAGGTCAGGGTCAGGGTGGTGTAAAGCCAACTAGGTGGAGGGTCCCTGGGATCCACGTTCCACAATTAGCTGTCAGGGTGGGACAATGCTGCATCAGGGAGCTGGGCCAGAGAGGACAAAGGAGCTGGATCTGTGGGACTGGAGAGGATGGCAGGCTGGGGCCAGTAGTGGTCAGTGCCCCCCAGGAGGACAGGGACACAGGGGGAGGGACAGGACACAGCCCTGGGCCTCCAGCCACACAGTCCTCTCTTCCTGTTGTCTCAGGATGGTCCTGGCAGGATGCATCTGCCAGAGTTCCATGTCCAGACCTCCCCCAAGGCTTGCTCCTACCCCTACCGGGATCTCACGCACACACACACACACACACACACACACACACACACAAGCCCGTGGGCACGCACACACTGACATGCCAAAGACATGCATACACATCCACTCCATAAGCACACATATCCACACCCACAAGTACAGACACATACATACACACACACACACATGTGCACGGACCCTCACCAACATGCACACAGGTGGGCACACACTGCCCTGCCAGGAGGAGGATGGTGGGCAAGAAACTACATGGGCAGCAGGGCAGCAGGAGGGTTTTCAACCAGGCGGACCAGTTAATTGTGCATTTGGGGCCAAGCCCTGGGAGGGGCTTGGAGGAGTGGGAGGAATAAAGGAACAAGGCCAGGGATTAGGGGGGAGCTAGGGTAGCCAGAGGGGGAGCGCAAGGGTGAACAGAAGCATATGGAGCCAAGGACATGAGGTAAAGTCCACAGGACCTGGGAAAGAGTGAGGTCATAGGCAGAATCTTGGGGGAAGGCCGAGGCCCTTGGTTCTGGGCATCTGGGGAGGGTCTGCACTGTAACACCAGTACAAGCAGTGGCTGTGCATCTGAGGTTCAGGAAGGAGGGGCCTCAGGCAGACATGTGAGGGTCACAATGCCAAGGTGACACATTCCAGGTCTCCCCCAGTGTAGGATCAGGCCTTGCAGTCTCCCCAGTCGAATTCATGCTGACAGCTCAGCTTATGTGGGGCCAGAGATTGGGGTTGGGTTAGGTCAGGGCTCACTGGGGTCTGGGACCTGTCTGCTGCCAGGGCCAGGAGCTGGGGCAGTCTCTACCCCAGGAAAAAGTATACTCTTAGTACTGGATTGACGTCACCATGTGAACTCATGACCCAGCACCACACTAACCCTGTCTTCCACCCCAGGCCTGGCAAGGGGCTACTCCATGACCCCCCCAACTCTAAACATCACGGAGGAGACACACATCATTGACTCCGGTGACAGCCTATCCATCTCCTGCAGGTACTCAGACCTCAGCCAGAAAAACAGGGGCCTGGGTCCCCACCCCAGGCCAAGGGGACCAGAGAAGGCCAAAGCAGGAGGTAGTAGAGGAGAGCCCAGAAGGCAGCCCCTCCCCGAGGCAAAGGGACCTCAATGCTTAGTGGGGCTCCCTGGTCACCTGGGGGTGGGCACCCGAAGGCATGGACCATCCTTGGCCCTGCAGACACCTTCCAGCCACTCCCACCTTGCCCACACTCTCACCTGGGACACTTCTTGCCTACCTCCCAGGTCACCCTGCATGGACCCCAGATCCCCTACACCCACCCCAGCCACCCTCCACTGGCACCAGGCCCACCCACCCAGACTGTGGCCCCGTTACAGTCCCTGTAGCCCCAGGGATGATCAGCAGGCTTCTCTTCAGGCCAGCCTACCTCATGCAGGCCTAGGAGCTAGTGAGCCCCAAAATTGGGCTGATCTGATCTCTGGATGAGACGGGCTGCAGGCAAGTCATGGCCCCAGGAAGGGTCCCAGGGACTGTGCCCTGGGACTGCAGCTGGGGCCTCTGTTATGCTCTCGTGTCCTCTGCCAGGGGGCAGCACCCCCTTGAGTGGTCCTGGCCAGGGGCTCAGGAGACGCCAGCCACCAGGGAGAAGGATGGCGAGGACGTGGGAGTTGTGCAAGACTGCGAGGGCACGGACACCAGACCCTACTGCAAGGTGCTGCTGCTGCCCGAGGCACACGCCAACAACACAGGCAGCTACCGCTGCTACTACAAGTACATCAAGGCCCGCATCGAGGGCACCACAGCCGCCAGCACCTACGTGTTTGTGAGAGGTGAGGGGACCCAGGCTGCCTGGCCCCGCAGCTGCCCAGGAGACATGGGCCAGGGGCTTGGATCCTGGAGCGGTAATCTGCACCTGCACCCCCCAGCCCCATCCTGCAGACCCTGGAGGGAAAGGATGCCCGACTGCCCCTCACCTGAGTGGAGGACCCCCGAGCCCCGCCTTCCCCTCTCACAACCTGCTCCCTCTCCCCAGACTTGGAGCAGCCATTCATCAACAAGCCAGACACGCTCCTGGTCAACAGGAAGGATTCCATGTGGGTGCCCTGCCTGGTGTCTATCCCCGGCCTCAACATCACACTGAGATCGGTACAGCCCTTATCCCCAGTCCCAGCCCAGGATCCAGCCATCCTGTCCCATCCATCCCAGGGAAAGGTGCCCACTGGTCTGGCTGGGAGAACGAGTACTGACGGCCACCGTGTCCCTGCAGCAAAACTTAGCACTGCAGCCTGATGGGCAGGAGCTGGTGTGGGACGACCGCCGGGGCATGCGGGTGCCCACGCCACTGCTGCGCGATGCACTGTACCTGCAGTGCGAGACCACCTGGGGTGGCCAGGCCTTCCTCTCCAATCCCTTCCTCGTGCATATCACAGGTAGGGGCCGCCCACACTGCAGGGCCCTCCCCCAGTGACCACTGCCCATGTCCCAGGAGAACTGCAGGAGGAGGACAGGGGATCCCCCAAATCCCAGTGGTGGGGCCACAGGTGCCACCACCGATCTTGGTGGGCGCCCTGCGCATGCCATCCCATAAGGAGCATGGGGGTCACTGTGCATGTATCACCAGGCAATGAGCTCTATGACATCCAGCTGTTCCCCAAGAAGTCGCTGGAGCTGCTGGTCGGGGAGAAGCTGGTCCTGAACTGCACAGTGTGGGCCGAATTCAACTCGGGTGTCACCTTCGACTGGGACTACCCAGGGAAGCAGGTGAAGCCGACGGCCCCACCACGGGCCATACTGGAACCATCCCCCAGAGTCCTTGTCACTGCCTACACCTGCCCTATGTCTGCACTGTCCCCAGGGGTCCCCATCACTGGCCACGCCCTCCTAGCCTCTGAATGGAAGAGGTGTGGACCCAGTCCCGCTTCAGAAGCCCCTGTCTGATGAAAGGGGCTACCCCAAGGAAAATTCTAGGTCTGGGCCCAAGGCTTCCAGGCCCACTTCTGGGCTGGGGTATGTGCCCTGGGCATTCAGTTCTGCCAGAGGCCACCTGCTCTGACCCTGGGCTTCCCCTGGCTGTGGGTAGGCAGAGCGGGGTAAGTGGGTGCCAGAGCGGCGCTCCCAGCAGACTCACACAGAGCTGTCCAGCATCCTGACCATCTACAACGTCAGTCAGAATGACCTGGGCCCCTATGTGTGTGAGGCCAACAATGGCATCCAGCGATTCCGGGAGAGCACCGAGGTCATCGTGCATGGTATGGCTTGCGGCTGGCTCAGGTGTCAGTCATCAGGCCTGGGGCCCCGGGGTACTTGTGCAGTGGGGGCAGGGGGCAGAGGTCAGGGTGCACCTGAGCAGTGTGGAGTCTAGCCAGAGGGAAGGGAGGGCAATGAGTAGACCCCAGGAGGGCCCGATCTGCAGGCGTCTGGCCCCTGGGGGTGCTGGATCGTGGCTGAGAGCCCCTGAGCAGTGGTGGGTCAGTGCCTTCAGGCCCCGACTTTACACTGATGCCTCCCATCTGGCAGAAAAGCCCTTCATCAGCGTCGAATGGCTCAAGGGTCCTGTCCTGGAGGCCACGGCAGGAGATGAGCTGGTGAAGCTGCCTGTGAAGCTAGCGGCATACCCTCTACCGGAGTTCCAATGGTACCAGCCCTGGTCCCCTGCCTCTCGCTACCCACCAGGTCCAGCAGGAGAACAGACCACCGGGCAAGAAGTGCAGCATCCCCCTCCCGTTAGGGTCTTTGCCCTGAGACTCTGACAGGGACTTGCCTCTGAAGACACTCTAAGGAGTGTGCACCTAATACAATAATTAAGCCAGAGGCAAAGTTATCTTGCTACGAAACTGTGCAAGCTTGCACCTACGGGGCTGCTCTATGTGTGGGTGCAGTGGGCACAGTGCAGAGCTTTAGCTTACTGGTTCCTGCACCTGCTCAGTGTATCGGAGGGCCCTGCCAGTGGGAGGGTGTTACGGAGCTCTGGCCTGCCCAGCAGCAATAGCTTTGGGTTTCCCAGGCCTCCCTGGACAGATTTGTCTCCCCGAGGACCCTCCTACCAGAAGCTGAGATGCCACAAGGGTTCCACAAACTGTTGTAGAGAAAGGCTCTGGGCCAGACCAGAGCTGTGTGGCAGTAATCAAGAGTTTCCAGGAGGCCCACAGGCTCCATTGCCCCAGCTCTGGTCTGTGAACTGAGAGTAAGACCTCTCCTATGGCATGTATCAAAGGTCAGTGAGGCAGTGAGGGAGTCCCTTAGTCATGGTCCACCCTTGCTAGGTGCTCCCAGAGAGCTCCCAAAGAGCTCAAGTTGGCATAGCATCCCCCCACACACCCTTGGGTCATCTGAGCAGTCCGTGTGGCCCAATGCTGGAAGGTCACACTCTAGCCTGACCCCCCCATGGTACAGACAGGAAACAGAGGTGGGGGAGGGGACAGGGCATTCCTACCTGAGTACTGAGTCCCCTGGGAGGGCTCTGCTTCATCCTTTCCCCATGGCCAAAGGAGCCCTGCCCTTCCCAGCCTGGGGCACCTCCCTCCAGGCAGGATAACCTTTTCTGAAAGCCTGGGGCTGAGCAAGCCAAGGCCCCAGACATTGTCAGCTGGGATCTCACTGTGCTGGCCGTGGGCTTACAGCAGGCTTCTCCTAGGAGGGCCCCAGGATGGCCTGGGCCTGGTATAACCCTACATCTGAGGCTACAGGCTTTGGGCTCCATTGCAGGGGTACCTAATATAGGACCAGCATTTGGGGGGCAGGGCGCAGCCTGGAGCCTCCTTCATATGTCAGCCTCCTAGAGACACCTGGAGCTCTGCCCTCTGCCCCCGAAGGCCAGCAGGACTGCTCCTGCTCTGAGAGGGAAGCCCAGCTCTTCTTCATTCAGGGTCTGGCCCAGGCGGCTGGCTGCTTCTCACCATTCCCACTACATCTGGTTTTTCTTCTCTCGCTTGACCAACATCTGCCTCCAAGTAGCACTCAGCTGGGCCCACTGTCCACTGAGACACCTACCCCGGGACCCTGTAGCACACAGGGGCCCACTCTACTAGGTTGTCAGGTGATGATTATCAGTACGTGAATGGATGGAAATCTAGTGGACAGATAGGCAGGCTGGTCCTCCACTCCCGAAGCACTCTGTGTCTGGGGCAGTGCTGACACGAAATGCCATAACTCCGTTCATCCTCGCGACCCCTGCAAGAAACTGCATTGTTTCCCCAATTTTCAGATGAGGACACTAGGTGCCCAGGCCCATGAGAGGGCTTTCCCCTGATCATAGATACAGCAGGTGGCAGACTTGGGATTTTGCACCAGAGCCTGGCAGACCACATGGCCTCGGGTCTGTTCTGCCCTGCCCTGCCCTGCTATGTGACCCCAGATGCGTCATGTCCCCCGCTTTCATCCCCCTTCACTGTTGCTCTCTGACCAAGGATGTGCCTCGGCCACAGCTCTGTGGCTGAATACCAGGTCAAGGCACCTGCCTGAGGGAGGACCATTTCCAGGGAAAGCATGGGTTGCAGAGTGGCCACCCTGCAAGTACTCCCAGCTCAGGCCTGGGGAAGAGCCACCCTGTGGGGTGTGAGGCATCTGCTTACTTGCATATGCATTTATTTGCATATGAATATGCACTGAATGCCTGCTTCTGCCGCTCTCTATGTGAGGGACATAGCAGTCCAGGGAGGACGGTGTCCACATGGCTCAGTGGGGGAGATGGATGGTCAATAGACACATGTGTGAAAATCAGTATGCTCATGAGCAAGCAGGTACAAACAGAGCAGAGGGCAGGAGCTGGTTCATAGGGCGGTAGGATGAATGGGTATTTATAAATGGGAGAGAGGGAGCCATACAGGTGTGTAGAGCATTGAGCATCCAAGCAAGGTGGGGACAGCGAGTGCCAAGGCCCCAAGTGGGAGTGTGGGGATGACCAAAAGTTCCTGTATCTGAAAAGCTCCAAAAGGGCAAGGCTGGGGGTCAGAAAGTGGTGATGGTCTGGGCAGTGCTTCTAGGGGACTATACCTCCGATCCTTCCCAGCACACACCACTGAAGCCTGTGAGAAATGGGGCACTCTGGGCACTGTAGTTGCCTCTGGGCCCGCAGATGTGAGACCTACCATCCCCATAGCCCTGAGGCCACCTGCTCTCCATCCCAAGTCACTGTCCCAGCCCGAGCCCCTGACACCCTTCCCTGAAGCCTTCTGGTCAGGTCTAGGAGGGGCCTTCTGCTCCAGCCAGGCCCATTAGGACTCTGGCACTAGCCTCCTCCCGCCTCCCCAGACAGTGTACGCTGTTGGTGGAGCCCGGGTGTGGTGGGGCTGGAGCGGGATCCATGCAGTCCCCTGAACTCCCTTCCTGGGCCAGGTACAAGGACAAGAAGTCAGTGTCTGGGCGCCACAGTCCACATGCCCTGGTGCTCAAGGAGGTGACGGAGGCCAGCGCGGGCATCTACACCCTCGCCCTGTGGAACTCTGCGGCCAGCCTGCAGCGCAACATTAGCCTGGAGCTGGTGGTGAATGGTATGGGGGCAGAGTAGGAGGGAGGACAGTGCGTGGCAGGTGTGCTGGCAGGGGCCTGCTGACCAGCCAACTGCCTGTGCCCCCAGTGCCCCCCCACATCCACGAGAAGGAGGCTTCCTCCCCCAGCACCTACTCCCGCCACAGTCGCCAGGCCCTCACCTGCACTGCCTACGGGGTGCCCCCCCCTCTCAGTGTCCAGTGGCACTGGCGGCCATGGACACCCTGCAAGACCTTCACCAAGCGCAGCCTGTGAGTGTGGCTCTGGCCTGTCCTTCCTCACTTCCCAGCCCTGTCCCCAACCTTGGCTGTGAGCCCCTCCTTACCACTGCCTGCACCCATCCCCAGAGCCCTGCTCAGAGCCCTACCGCCATTCAACTAGAGCCAATCCCTGACCTCACCTCTCCTAATTGAGGTCCACATGCCCCCAGTCAGGCTGGGCTGGACACAGGAATGGCGCAGTCCCCACCCATCACCCTTGAAAGTAAAGCCCCCAGGACACAAAATTACATCATCCAGGAGAACCTAGGGACCTGGGCATCAAGTGGGTGGACCTGAGCTCATTAAAGAGCCTTGTGCTCAGCCTGGGGACTTACCAACCATGCCCAGTTAGCTTTTTCTGAGCCATGCCCCTGATGACCACTTACAGAAGAGGCAGCTGAGGGTAGGAGGAGGGATCTGATTTTCCCAAGGTCATGGCTGTAAGCAGCAGAGCTAGCCTGACTGCTGGGCCATGCTCCCCAGTGCTGCCAAGCTTGTGTGCCAACAAGACAGACTGGCCTAGGAGTATGCTCAGAGCAGTGACAACTCGGGACAAGCAAGAGATGGGAGGGGGCTGCCAAGCTAGCCAGTGGTCTGGAGGGCACTAAGGTGGAGGGTCACAGCCTGGGGAAGGATGATGCTGGGAACCCGAGGAGGAGACAGAGTGGCTGCACCAGGAGACGGGCTGTAGCCCCAACATAGTCAGTGGAGGAGGCTCTACAGGGGTGGCCTGCTACACCCAAGGCTCATAAGAGATTCTTCTAGACCACCAGACACTTCCAAATTTGTTTCTCTCTGATACCTTCCCTCTACCTCTATGCTCTGGGTCAACTGACAGAACCATGGAGTTGGGAGGACTCTTGGGTGGCTCAGCAGTTGGGATCTGCCTTCAGCTCAGGGCATGATCCCAGAGTCCCAGGATCCAGTCCCACATCAGACTCCCCGCAGGGAGCCTGCTCTTCCCTTTGCCTGTGTCTTTGCCGCTCTGTGTCTCATGAATAAATAAAATCTTTTATTTAAAAAAAAAAAAAAGAACCCTGGGGTTGGGGTCTTGCTGGGGGCAGATAAAAGCCTCCCCTGGGGTCCCAGACCCATATTCCAACAAAAGACCAAAGGTGGTGGGGTCACATCCAGCCCAGGAAGGGGCTGCAGCTCTGGGAGGAGGAGAGAGATGGCTTCCTGGAACAGAAGTCGTGACTTTGCTACCCCTGGGAGATCCAGGTGGACTTTGCGGGAAGAGGCACATCTCAACTAGGGGATGGTGGGTAGAGCAGGCTAGAGATGAACCACAGGGCCACAGGTATGTGCTACTCTGAGGGCAGCAACCCTTTGCCTACTGGGGACAAGATTGTTGCAGGGCCATGAGCATAAAGGGTGGAAGACAGTGTTCCAGGCACAAAGCCCCAATCCCTGCCCTTGCCTCAGCCTGACAGCCAGCCTTACCCACCCATGTGAGTAGGTGACCCTGAGTATGACAGCAGCTGGACCCCCACCCCCTGAGGGGCAATCTCTGCCCACACCTGCCCTGCCCTGCCCCCTCCTTGCTCACAGCAGCCGGCGGCAGCAGAGAGACCACATGCCACAGTGCCAGGACTGGCGAGAGGTGACCACCCAGGATGCTGTGAACCCCATCGAGAGCCTGGACACCTGGACTGAGTTTGTGGAGGGGAAGAATAAGGTACACACCAGCCATGCCACTGACAGGGAAGGAGAAGGGAGGTGGGGAGGGCCATCTCCTGGCTTCCATCTCTACCAGGCCTGCAGAGTTAATCAGAGTTGGTGGTCTTTCTGCAGTGTTTCTGGGCCTCAGCTACCCTTCCTATATGTGCATTGGAGGGGAGGGACCTCTAGCTGCTTCCCAGACAGGGAAGCTTTGATGGAAGGTGGCCTGGCCAGGGGCCCCAGCCACCCACAGGCCCTAGGGCTAGGAAGGTCAGGCCCAGGGCCAGCTAGGTCCCCTCTGAAGGCAACCAAGCTGCTGGCCCAGCCTGGAGGCAATGCCTAGAAGAGGCCGGGGGGGGGGGGGGGAAGGGGACAAACAAAGGCACCCACTTCCTACAGTCACTTCCTGTTTTCCTGCACACCTCCAGAACCTCTTCCTGTTCCAAGCCTGGCCAGGAAGTGCCCAGCTTGGAAGGGGGGGCGGGTGTTGTTTGGATGGTAGGCAGGGCCTACGGCCTTCTCTCCTCCCCCTGCCTCCAAGCTTCTTACTGCCCAGGCCAGAGGCCTTCTGGAGACCTGGGACCCATTCTCATTCCCTTCACTGGCCACCGTGCAGGGCCCTGAGAGAGGTGGTGTGAGCAGCCCCAGGACACATGTGGCACATCACAAGGATCTTACACAGTGACCAGTCTTGCCCTGCCCTCTGAATCATAGCCCAGTGCTTGCTGGGTCTGTGCCCTGCTCAACATGGCCAGAGCCCCAGCCCATCCATGCCCAGAGGTCCCTCTTGCTCAGCCTAACATTGTCCTCGGACCTCAGCCACAGCCGATGCCAGCTGTTCATAGCTATGCCCTGGACTTTCCCAGAGAGCCATCTCTGCTGTGCAAGGGCTTCACCTTCCGCTCCCCACCTCACCCTTCTGGGTCCTGTCTCTGAGCTTTGGTCCTTTTCAGCTCTGGGCCTCTAGCATCTCTGATACTCAGCTGACCATGGCAGCCTCCCTGCAGGTAGGGAGGACGGTCAAGCTGGGAGGAACTTGGGCAGAACATGGATCTGTGTGCTTGTGCTCTGCTTAGACGGTGAGCAAGCTGGTGATCCAGGACGCCAACGTGTCTGCCATGTACAAGTGTGTGGTCTTCAACAAAGTGGGCCAGGACGAGCGGCTCATCTACTTCTACGTGACCAGTGAGTGACCTGAGCAGGTCTGGGTGGAGGTCAGGAACAAGAGGAAGGCAAGAAGGCCTGAGAGAGGACAGTGAGGCCAGGTCGGGCCCGTTGAGTTTCTGATGATGTGGGGTGTCCAGGAGAGATACTTAGGGCCCACTGGGCCCCTGGGTCTGAGCAGGCAGGATAGATTTGGAGGTCATGAGCCTATGGACCGGGGTGCTGATCCTCCAGGATGGAGTGGCACTCTCTGCCTCCAGCCCCGGAGGTGCCTCCCCACCGTGCCTTTCCTCTCCCTATGGCTCCACCTCCCTCCCAGTCCCCTTCCAACAGAGCAGCTGGCTCACAAGTACACTTCCTGGGGGAAAGGTCCATAGTTTCCTCCAATTTTCAAATGTGTTAGTGACCCCAGGAAAGCTAAGAAGCCCATTAAAGGGACAGTTGCTGGGCCCAGGAGTGTAAATGAGGCACCTGGAAGGGACATGGAGCCAGAGAGAACCCTGCAGGAGGGAGGAGGGGAGAGGAGCCCACAGAAGCCTGACAAGGAGTGTGGCCAGACAGACAAAAGGAAATCAGGAGCGAGGCATTGCCACAAGCTAATGAAACAACAAGATCATTTCAAGGAGAGGCCAGTGGTGGAGTGTGGTCAGCAGCAAGGCAGGACGCAACAGGACCGCACCAAGTGTGCTGACAAGAACCACACGGATGACCTGGGCTCCCGGGAGCATAGGGCAGCAGCCAGGTTGGGGCTCAGACGGTAGACAGCTAGAAGAAGGTGAGGCAGGAGAATCAGTGGGGCTGGCTTCAGGGAGGGCCCCGTTGGTCAGTGCTGGGGAAAAGAGTACCCAGAAAGTACCCAGTCCAGACTTAGGTGATACAAGTCTTGGCTGAGGGCAGAGTGAGTTCAAAAGCAGTTGGAAAAGCGAGAGCAAGCACCAGCGTGGGCGGGTGGGTGAGCCAGCTCCGGGTGCCCGTCACAGAGGCTCCTCCTCGCTCCGCAGACATCCCCGATGGCTTCAGCATAGAATCCGAACCATCGGAGGAGCCCCTAGAGGGCCAAGAGGTGCGCCTGAGCTGCCGGGCAGACAACTACACCTACGAGCATCTGCGTTGGTACCGCCTCAACTTGTCCACGCTGCACGATGCTCATGGGAACCCGCTGCTGCTCGACTGCAAAAACGTGCACCTCTTCGCTACGCCGCTGGCAGCCCGCCTGGAGGAGGTGGCGCCAGGGGCACGCCACACCACGCTCAGCCTGACCATCCCCAGTGTGGCACCTGAGCACGAAGGCGACTACGTATGCGAGGTGCAGGACCGTCGCAGCCACGACAAGCACTGCCACAAGAAGTACCTGTCAGTGCAGGGTGAGGCGGGCCGCGCTGCAGGGGAGGGCTGGCGGAGCTCCGCGAGGAGCTTCCTCCCGCCCCAGAACCCTGTCTTTCCGGGAGCCTGAATCTGCAGGAGGGTCCTCCTCCCCATCCCTACGGTGGAGGTCCACAGCCCACACGACCCTGCGCTCAAATCCGATCCTTCCTAGAGCTTGGCACAATCCGTCCCCACTCTTGGCTTCCAGCCCTGGAGGGCCCCTTCCCCGAACGCCCTCTTGTTTCCTGCAATCCCACTTAGCTCCCCCTTGACCCCCACCCCCAGCCCTGGAAGCCCCGCGGCTCACGCAGAACTTGACCGACCTCCTGGTGAACGTGAGCGACTCCCTGGAGATGCGGTGCCCGGTGGCCGGGGCACACGTGCCCAGTATCTTGTGGTACAAAGACGAGAGGCTGCTGGAGGAAGAGTCCGGTAGAGTGGTGGACCCCGGGGCGAAGGGCGGGGTGCAGACGCTTACCAGGTCAAGGCCCTAGACCTACCTGAACTCGAAGCCACACACCGTCCCCTACAGGAATCGACCTGGCGGACTCGAACCAGAAGCTCAGCATACAGCGCGTGCGTGAGGAGGACGCGGGCCGCTATCTGTGCAGCGTCTGCAATGCCAAGGGCTGCGTCAACTCCTCTGCCAGCGTGGCCGTGGAAGGTCCGGCCTCCCCTTAGCGCCCTTCCGCCCACCTGCCACCTGCACTTGGTGCCTTCTCGTAACCACTTCCCTCAAGTCGTGCCCACTAGAAGGGGGGCTTCCTGCAGGGTTCACCCCGTTCCCCCTAACACACACACGCAGACTGGCCCCTTTTCTGCCCACACAGGCTCCGAGGATAAAGGCAGCATGGAGATCGTGATCCTTGTCGGCACTGGGGTCATCGCTGTCTTCTTCTGGGTCCTCCTTCTCCTCATCTTCTGTAACATGAGGAGGGTGAGTCCTCCTCCCCCAACTGAGCCTCTTCACTGCTCCTATGGGGTCTCTCTAGGCCATTCACAGCCTGTAAGATAAGGAATGGGGTCCTCCACCATCCTGGCTCACCTGGAAGTCTCACCTCCCAGGAAGCCTCTCTGACCCCTCCATGCTGGGTTCCTACACAACCAGAGATTGTCAGTCTGTCTGTCCCCTCCTTGCCTGAGAGCCCCAAAGGAGATCCCACCTGTCCTGGGGAAAAGTTCACCCAAGATGGTGGAATGGCCAAATCAATTAGTTGTCCCCACCCCACCCCAGCCAGCCCACGCAGATATCAAGACGGGCTACCTGTCCATCATCATGGACCCGGGGGAGGTGCCTCTGGAGGAGCAGTGTGAATACCTGTCCTATGATGCCAGCCAGTGGGAGTTCCCCCGGGAGCGGCTGCACCTTGGTGAGGGGATCACCCAGCACCCCTCACCCACCCATCCATCCTATCCTGCCCTTGTGGACTGCTTTCTTCTGAAGTGCTGAGATGCCTCCGTTCTCAGGCCAGAAAGTTATGCCTGGCCCCCACCTGGTCTGTCCTGCCATCTGGGCGGGCATCCCAAGAACTTGGCCAGGGCTCCAGTTCTCAGGCCCCCTAGGGTCACTTCCCACAGCTCTCAGCAGGGTGGACCCAACACACCTGCCGGGAGAGGATGCAGGCCTTCCTGTCCACTTCTCTCCTCCCTCTCTTCCCACTCCTGATCTCCCTGCTCTTCCTGTTTGGCAGAGAGGCTCCCAAGTTTCCTCCCGCTCCTGGCCTTCCTTCCTGGCCCTGCACAGGAGTTGCCCCTGCTGCCAGTCCCTCCCCACCCTTGCCCTCCTACAGCTCACCTGGACCCGACTCCCTGCTCCCACAGGGAGAGTCCTAGGCCATGGAGCCTTCGGGAAGGTGGTGGAGGCCTCGGCTTTTGGAATTCACAAGGGCAGCAGCTGTGACACTGTGGCTGTGAAAATGCTGAAAGGTGCGGGGTCAGCGACTCTGAGTGGGCTGGTGGGGCCGTGGTTCAGGAGGGGAAACCGAGGCACAGAGCCAGAGTCTACCCAGGGATTTTCACGGAGGCGTTAGACTCAGATCTGAGCAGTTCTTCCCAATCCCACCTGGAACTGACTGCAGCCTCGCAGAGGCGAGCCGGCCAGGCCGGGACCCCAGCCCCCCGCGGGCAGGCGCCCTAGCTGCGCCGTGTCTAAGCAGGGGCGGGGATTGGGGGCGGCGGCCCGGCACCACGCGAAGCCCCCGTGTCCCCTCCAGAGGGCGCCACAGCCAGCGAGCACCGCGCCTTGATGTCGGAGCTCAAGATCCTAATCCACATCGGCAACCACCTCAACGTCGTCAACCTCTTGGGGGCGTGCACCAAGCCCAGCGGTAGGGAGCTCGGCCGGGGCTCCCCGCGGGGCGGGGCGGGGCGGGGCCGGGCGGGGCGGGTCGAGGCGGGGCCGGGCGGGGTCGGGGCGGGGCCGGGCGGGGTCCGAGCTGCCCGCTCGCTCCAAACTGCGCCCGCTGCTGCGCGGCCCTAGGCCCCCTCATGGTGATCGTGGAGTTCTGCAAGTACGGCAACCTCTCCAACTTCTTGCGTGCCAAGCGGGAGGCCTTCAGCCCCTATGCGGTAAGCGGGGGCCCCGCCAACGGCCCGAGCTCTGCCGGGAGCCTGCAGGGACCGGGGGCGGCGGGCGGCTGGGGGCAGGGCCTCCGCGTGGGCGCGGGGCCCCCTCACACCCGCGCTGCGTTCGCAGGAGAAGTCCCCTGAACAGCGAAGGCGCGTCCGCACCCTGGTGGAAGGTGCCAGAGCTGACCGGAGGAGGCCGGGAGGCAGCGACGGGGCCCTACTGTCCCGGCTCCTCGTGGGCAAGGGCGCGGCAGGGCGGGCGCCTGCGGGCCCGGAAGGTGAGAGCCTGGCTTCCCCTCGCCCGCAGAGGGGCCTTAGGCACGATCGGGGACCACGGGAGAAGCGGGCCTCAGGCCCTCCTGGAGGGGCTTGCAGGGGTGAGCGTGCAATGGATTTTCCTTTGGAAGGGAGGACCCCGCAGGGGCAGCTTCCACAGAGACTTTTGATGTTTGACTGGGCATCCTCACTGCCTATCTAGGCATTTGCCTTCCAGGCAAGGGTGGGAGCGGACAGGCAAAAGTAGCAGGTGCAAGGTACGAGGATGCAGCAGTATTCGCCATTCTGGGAGTGGCTCGTGGGTTTGCAGAGCGCTAGATGCTGAGGGGCAGGAGAGGGGGCCCGCCCGCTTGTGAGCTAGTGCCAGGAGCTTCAGGGGCCTGACCAGGAGGGATGAGGCCAGGCTTAGTGATGGAGTGCTCTCCTTGGGGAAGGGTATTGATGGGAGTCATGGAAGAGCCCCCCCCCACTCCCCCCCCCCCACCTTGCTCCTCTGTGCAGCCCAGGACTTGTGGCTGAGCCCGCTGACCATGGAAGACCTTGTCTGCTACAGCTTCCAGGTGGCCCGAGGGATGGAGTTCCTGGCCTCACGCAAGGTGACCGCCCCAGTAGGCCCCTCCAGAAGGGAGAAGGGTGCATATGCCCTGTTCATCTCACTGCACAGCGATGCTGTGGTCAGCACATGTTTCTCCCACTTTGCAGAGGAGGGAACTGAGACCAGAGTGTGCAAGTGATTTCATGATATCTCTAGCCAGTCAGTGTACAGAGGGGTTGTAGGATCTGTCCTACCCCACAGCCTACACTGCCTCCCCATTTCCATGAGCCCTCTGCATGGAGAATTCTGGGAGAGCATAGAAACCTCTCCCAGAAAGAGCAGGGCTCAGGTGGGGGGTGGGGGAATGAGGGGGCCTTGGGGATCTGTGCTGACCACCCTCTCGCGCCCCTCCCATCCTGTACCCCTAGTGTATCCACAGGGACCTGGCTGCTCGGAACATATTGTTGTCAGAAAGCGATGTGGTGAAGATCTGTGACTTCGGCCTGGCCCGAGACATCTACAAAGACCCTGACTATGTGCGAAAGGGCAGTGTGAGTGCAGGCCACAGAGGGAAGGCAGGAGCAGGGGGCACGGACCTCCCAGCCGAGAGTCAGCTGGGGGACTCTGTGCCATCTACATGGAAGGTCTGAGAACCCACACCTACAGGGACCTTAGTGGCCCCAGCAGGGCACATGGGGCAGGGGCACAGAGATAGGAGCTGACAAGCAGGGACCCTGGTGCTTCAGCTGGAGCCTGTGTTTGGCCCCACGGCTGTGCCCATTAGTGAACACAGCTGACTCTGCATGTCTGCTGAGCAGGATGGCCATGGAAAAGTATATGGGTGCTGGGAGCAGCGTGTGTCTCATTGGTGGTGCTCAGAGGTGGCAAGAGGCACTGGGATGAGCACTCAAAGCAAACTGGGGGTTCATCCCCAGAGGAGGAAGGAAAAGGCTTGCAGAGAGGGGGTAGTGGGCAGCGTGGGGCTAGGATGTGGTGGGTCAGCCTGCAAGGTTTTTGCCCTTCATTCTAACTCGCGAGTGGGCAGAGGCAGGTAGAGGGGAGAGTCAGGTGCACCTTCCAGAAGCCCCATCTGCAGTCTATGAGGAAAGAGGAGTCAATGTGCTGGGGGTGAAGGCAGAGGCCTATCATGGGGGCCAGGACCCTCAGGGCTCCCAGGTAGAGGCCCCTATACGTAGAGACACCGGCAGTGGATGGAGAAAGCACATCAGGAGCCACAGGACGAGGGATCAGGAGTGATGCCCAGCTTCTGGTGGGGGGCCAAGTGAACAACTGAGGGGGGATGGTGAGGGTGTGCAGGGTCCCATTTCCTCCAGAGACTGGGTCTGGGGTCTGGACGAGGAGGGGCCCAAGTGCCCCCCCCAACAGTGCATAGAGGAAGAAAGGGGCCCAGACAGACCCAGGAGAAAAGCAGCAGGGCAAAAGCCTTCAAGGAAGACACCAGGCACCTACGGGGTGGGGGCCGATTGTGACCGCCTTCTGAACAAACAAGGGGTGGATTTGGCCATAGGCCTTTCTTGGGGTGTGGCTGCAGGGTTCTGGGGAGGCTACGGGTGAGAGAGGGGTTTGGCCTCTCCCTCTCTGCCCTCCCTCCATGGAGACATAATTCCTTCGGCCTCCCCCAGGCCCGGCTGCCACTGAAGTGGATGGCCCCTGAGAGCATCTTCGATAAGGTGTATACCACGCAGAGTGATGTATGGTCCTTTGGGGTGCTGCTCTGGGAGATCTTCTCACTGGGTAAGTGCAGGGCAGGGTGTGGGGGAGGGGAGAGGCAGGGTCACAGGCTGCAGCCCTTCTGAATGAAGCGGGGTGGGGGCTGGTGGCCCAGAGGTGTGCACCTGGAGCAGTCATTCAACGGCAAGTGGTTCAAGAGCCCTCCCTGTCTCTCCTCTGCCTCCAGCATGGGCCACGCTGGCCCCACCCCTGGAGGGTGCTGTGCTCGAGCTTCTGATGAGGCAGAGCTTATGTTTACTACCTGGTCCCCGGGATCACCACAGGTCCCCGAGGAGCGGCCTCATGTGTTCCCCAGATCTTCACCTCCCTGAATGACCTGTCACTGGGGATGCTTCTCCTGCCTTCAAGGGCTGGGGAGTGCTCTGGAGAAGACTGGATGCTCACTCACAGAGTGTACCTACTTATGAGAGCTCCGCATAGGGCCCTGGGCCCTGCACCGGGAGCAAGATGAAGCCCCCGCGCCAGGGCAGAGGCAGGCAGTGAACAAAAGGAGAAGTAAAAGCACCAAAGAGCCACTATGATGAACGCTATCACTAAAAATGCGAGGGCCTGGAGAGCACAGGGAGGGCAGGAGCTGTGTGTGAGCTGGGGAGGGCCCAGCTGATGAAGGGGTTTTTTTTTGGGTCAGGCAGGCAGGCTGGAAGACAGCAGTCCAGGGTCGGGGGTACAGGTCCCCACCTGTTGGAGGTGGGCCAGGGGTGAGCAGGGGCATCAGGAGGTACAGCAGGCAGGAGGATGGGAGGTCCGTGTAGCCCCTGCAAGCTGGCCAGGGTGACGACCTGGACTAGGTCTCGGGAGCCACTCAGGGCTTTGAGCAAGGGAGAGAGCAGTGTGACTTATCTTGCAAAGATAAGCCTGCTTCTGTGGAGACAGGCTCTTCGGGGCTGTTCTTCCTGTGGTCAGAAGAGGCGAGGTGCTGTAGGGCAAGGAGGAGTTAGGTCCTGGGTATCTTGGCAAAGCCTCAAGATTTAGGAAAGGATTGGACTGAGTGGCCAGGGAGGGCATCTCTGAAGAGGGTTCATTGTGACAGGCATGGCTCCATTGGCTCAGTGTGGCTCCCTGACCCTGGTGATCCCCCATGTTTTCATCCATCATCCTCTCTTAACCAAGTGGGGAACTATCATTGGGAGCAGAAGTGCCTTGGCTGCCCACCCCCCTCAACTCTGGCCTGGAAGCAGCAGGACCAGTCCCCTGCCACAGGGGGCCAGGACAGAGGCAATTTGGGGAACTTGGCTGAGCTGCAGGTGCTGGCTCCCCACCCACCCCTACCTCGTCCTGTTCTGCCCTCAGGGGCCTCCCCCTACCCGGGGGTGCAGATCAATGAGGAGTTCTGCCAGAGGCTGAAAGAGGGCACACGGATGAGAGCCCCGGAGCTGGCCACTCCTGCCATGTGAGTCTCCCTGCTGGCTCTGCAGGTGGGGGAAGAGGGGCCAAAAGGGGGCATTGCCACAGGTGGGGGTTCTTGGATGCAGGCATAGGGAGAGCAGGATGCAGGCAAGGGGCAGCCGTGGGGAGGTAGTGCAGGCACAGGGCTGGGGTAGAGGCCTGCAGATGAAGATCTTACTCCACCCCTGACCCACCCACTGGTCCATTGACGGCTCTCCTCCCTGCAGGCAGAAGAGACTGGGTGGGCAGAGGGGTTTGAGGGACCGAGGTCACGCAGGGGAGCCGGGGTCTGCTGGTGCAGAGTGCAGGTGCGCTCCGACCACAGGCCAGAGCCAGTTTTGCCTGCAGACGCAGCATCATGCTGAGCTGCTGGTCAGGAGACCCCAAAGAGAGGCCTGCGTTCTCGGAGCTGGTGGAGATCCTGGGGGACCTGCTCCAGGGCAGGGGCCAACAGGTAAGTCCTCTGCCTGCCCCATCCAGCTATGGCAACCTCTGGCCCCAGCCCCAGAGCCATCAAGCAGGTGGCCAGGGTCCATCTTTGGCCACGAGTAGTCCCCAGGCTGGTCTTCAAGGGGTCTTCAAGGAGCCCCTGTGTCCCATAGAAGGGTAAGGTGTTCCCCCTGCCTCTTTGCACTTCCATGTCCTGCAGCCCCACCCCCTGCGCCCACCCTGACTTCATTCTCCCTCTCACTGTGTGCCTGGGTGTGCAGGGAGCAAAGCCAGACCAGGGCTTCCCCGATGCTGTGGGGTCTAGGGGAGAGAGCAGGGGCTGCCTGCAGCACTTGGAGTCCAATTCTGCCCCCAAACAGGGGCCCCCGCTGTGCCCTCCTCTTTGTAAATGGGATACCTTGGAGGGCTATTGGGAGAATTTACCAGACAGGCTCATTTAACCCTCAGAGTGCCTGGAAGCACAGTAATTCACCAGCCAGGAGCCCCAGCAGTCCCAAGCACAGGCGTGGGGGCTGAGGAGGCACGGCAGTCTCTGATACTGGTGGCCTCTGCCATTCCTTCCAGGAGGATGAGGACTGCATGGCCCCCTGCGGCTCTCAGAGCTTGGAGGAGGGCAGCTTCTTGCAGGCGTCCACCATGGCCCTGCATGCTGCCAAGGCTGACATCGAGGACAGCCCACTGAGCCTGCACCCGCACAGCCTGGCCACCAGGTCAGCCGCCCTGCCCAGATCCCCGGATTCCCTGGGGCAGGGAGAAAGCAGTTTGGACGTGGTATATTTTATTCTCACTAGTCATCAAGGAACCGCAAACTACAAGGACTTGAGAGGCCATTGTACACCAACTCAAAGAACACAGTGATTTTAAGTGACAGTACTGGGAACAGTGGCTCCCTAGAGGGCCTGCTTAGCCTTGGGGCCCCTCCAAGGCCATGTAGCCTGCGCCTTGGCTTTTCTCTGCACCCCCTCAGACCTTCTCCCTGCCCTGCAAGCCTCCTCTGGTTCTGGTACTCCTACTCCCTGAAAGCCCCTCCCTGCAATTTGAAATCTGGGATCCTGAGAGCAGAGCAGGCCAGCCACTCACTAGTATTCAGGGTTGTTTTTTTTTTTTAAGATTTTATTTATTTACTTATAAGAGACACAGAGAGAGGGGCAGAGACACAGGCAGAGGGAGAAGCAGGCTCCCTGCAGGGAGCCCAGTGCAGGACTCGATCCCAGGACCCTGAGATCACAACCTGAGCCAAAGGCAGATGCTCAACCACTGAGCCACCCAGGCGTCCCTGATATTCAGGTTTTAGAATGCAGCCTAAGTTCCTGGAGTTCTGGATCTGAGGTCTCTTGCTGATGGCTATTTACACTCCAGAGAAGGGCTCTGAGACCTGCCACCCACGTGCCCCAGGACAGGAACAGCCAGCGGGCTCCCACCAGGTTCCTTCCACCAGCCACCCCAGCACATATGTGAATGTGAACATACACACACGTACACATGCACAGTCCTGCACACACCAGACTGCCTGCCTTGCCCGGAGTGGCCCGTTCTGGGGTGAAAGCCTCCCCACATCTCACCAGCTCCATGCCACACCCCTCAGCTCCCATGCCCCTCCTCTTGCACAGGAGAGGAGATAGCTCAGCACAGGGGGGACCCCCGAGAGGAGCCCAGACCAGCAGTCAAATCCAGGCCCCATCCTCACAGCTCCAGCCTGGAGTCCTTCTGGGAGGAGAGGAGCGGAAGGAGAGGCAGAGAGAACTCTCTGGGGCACATTTCTTCAGCACTGTTTTCTCCCCTCAGATATTACAACTGTGTGTCTTTTCCGGGGTGCCTAGCCAGAGGGACTCAGACCCAGGGCCCCTCCAGGATGAAAACATTCGAAGAATTTCCCATGACCCTGACCACCTACAAGGCTTCCGTGGTAAGTAGGGTAGGGTGCGCCTGCACCCCCCAGATCAGGGTGGCTAAGCTTTCTCTGCCAAGAGGAACTATCAGGGACTCCCGAGTGCAGCAGGGGAAACCAGCTCAGGAAAGGGTACCAACTGCCCCTCGAAATTTCAAGCACAGATTATGCCTCAGGCATGTTGGGGTCCATGTTCCCCTGCAATGCCACCGTCTTTCTACTGCTTTCCCCCGTAACCTCACTCACACCAGGTCTCCCCTCCACACAGCAGAGAAACCCAGAGGATTGGTTGGATTATTATTGGATTAGCCCGAGGCAGGGCTTCCCTTTGGTGGCCTCCAAGCCATGTGGCCAAAGAGAAGGGGACAGTGTCCCTAGAGGAGGAAACTGGGGTATGGGGCCCAGGGCACAGCTGTGTCCTCAGATCTAGTCAAGCAGAGCGGGCCTCTCCTGGCACCATGAGGCTGGAGCCCCTGCATCCATTTCGTAAAAGGACAGATACATCCTCAGCCTGGTGCCAGTACACACAGCCTCCCTCCAGAAAGGCCTGCTCAGTGAGCGCTGGCCCCAGGCTCATGTTGCCAAGCACCACACAAAGAATGTTGGGGGGCCCCCAGCTCTGACAGGACTGCCGTTCCCCTCCATGTCATTCAAAACGAGAACCATGCCAAGTCCCTCACCATCTAAGGATTACAGAGCCCCGCTAAACCTGGGATGTGTCTGCATGAGGACCATTTTTTTTACACTGAATTCTTTCGATGCACTCCCTGTTTCTCCTTGTATTCCTGCTCTGTCTGAACCCTGAGCACTTGCATGGCCACCTTGTAGGTTCCTCAGTGTGTGTGCACTATCCCAGGTTTGCCGCCTCCTGAGTACAGGCCAGGCATGATCCCCGGCCTCAGTTTCCCCTCCGTGGCAGGGCTGCGTGACCCTCACTGTGCACTCCAGTGAGGAGTGGCCACCTGCTTTCCACTCACTTTCTGCAGGACAGGTGTCAGGCCAGCATGTGGGTCCGTGCCACCCATGCCATCCTGACTGAGGGGCAGCTGCCAGCAGATGGCCTTGTTCTCTGTACACAGGATAACCAGACGGACAGTGGGATGGTGCTGGCCTCTGAGGAGTTTGAGCAGCTGGAGAGCAGGTACAGACAAGAAAGCAGGCTCAGGTAGGGCATCCAGAGCCTCTTTCCCTGCAGGGGGCCGGGAGGGGGAAGCTGGGCCTGTGTGCACCCATCACTGACTCACCTGAAACCTTTTATGGCTCCCTACTGCTTTTCTGTGTATTCAAAGCAAGCTTCCCTAGAACTCTAGGCCTTTGGCCACCAGCCCTCCCAGAGAAGCCCCCTAACCATCACTATCCTGGCCCAGCACACCTGCTGCTCATCCCTACACCCCCTTCCATTTGACAGATGCTCAGATGCCACCTCTCTGTGAACCGAGTATGATCACCATGCCCACCGTACATGCACACCCCTCCACAGCTGGGGGACACCACCACCATCCCCAGACCCCACTACGTTTAAGCTTGATGGTGCAGGAGCCAGACAGATCATGTGACCTGGAGTTGGCTGGTGTCCTATGTTGATAAGAATGCAGTCACAGAGAAACCCTCATCTAAGAAGCTAGCCCCCCCACCAAAAAAAAATCCCTGAACGTTTAATCTTTTAAAGATATAGATGAAGTTATAGACATTATAGTTACATGTCTATCCATTCGCTCAATTAATCAACTTGCACATAGCTGTTTAAATGACAGGACCTATGGGGCACCTGACTGGCTCTGTCAGTAAAGCATGGGACTCTTGATCTGTGCCTTTGTCAGGAGCCCTTTTTTGGGTCATCTGACACAATTTTCCAGAACAAATCCTGGCCTCTGCCTGTGCCGTTTATTAATCATTGTATGATGTTGTCATTAAGTATTTTACCCCAGACCCCAAGTATTTATTTGTATCACATTAGAATAGTTGATGTGATTCTTCACCTTTCTGGTAGGTGCATTTATGATCTGTGCAACTGAACCAACTAGGGGTTCTTTTTCCCAGCTGCCTACAAAGGATGTGTTTGCGAAGCTGGGGATGCTGGTGGATGTGGGGGTCACATACCCAGTCATAATTACTGCATCTGCACCATGCATCTTGACCTCCTTTTTTGTTTCTATTGATTCTATCAGGTGATCTCTGTTAGTAACCTAGTTTATTTACTCATGAGAGACACAGAGAGAGAGGCAGAGACACAGTCAGAGGGAGAAGCAGACTCCCTGCAGGGAGCCCTATATGAGACTTGATCCCGGGCCCAGGATCATGACCTGAGCCGAAGGCAGAAGCTCAACCACTGAGCCACCCAGGCATCCCTGTTAGTAACCTAGTTTAATGCTAATTGCATTTTTGGAAATAGTTTCTGGCTAATGTTTCTTTACCAAACAGTATTTTATATCTCAAAAAAAAAAAAAAAAAACAACAGTAATTCCATAAAAGGGTTAGCCAGAGGATGATTGCCACTTAAATTCTAATCTCCACACATCTTCATAAAAATAGTACTTGGAGCAAGGCCACTTAGAGCCCATGCCCATGACATAAGCAGGAGAGAGACTGGAGTTTATGTGCAAGTAGGGAACTCAGTACTGGGACCAGCAGAGCCATACCTGAGTCATGGTGGAAGGAGAGAAAGAGAAGGACTTCCCTGGGAAAGAGAAGTGTTTCAAGGTCCTTGGGACAAACCAGGGGATGATGAAGGAGACAGAGGTCTGGTGAAGGAGAGCAGGGCTCCAGGGCAAATCTAAGGCACCAGATGCAGCCGTCTTGTAAAGGCATTGCTTCTGAACAGCCAGTGAGCAGGAAGTGAGTGCTTAGTGGTGAAGGAAGAAGAAAGTTGCAGAAAATAAGAATCCTCCAAAAGTAAGAATCCAGAAGACAAGGGAACCTGGGTGGCTCAGTGGTTGAGCATCTGCTTTCGGCTCAGGTTGTGATCCCCGGGATCCTGAGATCGAGTCCTGCATCAGGCTCCCCACAGGGAGCCCACTTCTCCCCCTGCCTATGTCTCTGCCTCTCTCTGTGTGTGTCTCTCATGAATAAATAAAATAAAAAAGAATCCAGAAGACAGATATACACCCAAGGAAACCATTTATTACAGAAACTGCACCTACAGGAGTAGCAACAGCCCTATTGTCCACACAGGTTGCCTTGGAAACATATGACCAGCCCCTGAGAGGTGCAACAGGTCACCTGGCAGGTACATTCACGCAGGTGGAACATTCTCCAAACAGGTGCAAGGATAGAACATGCCTTGGAGGGCGCTGTAGGGGAGAAGAAGGAGGGAGTCTACCTGCCTAGTTCTTTCCTGTCTCCTGTGAACCACTGATCTGCAACCCCTACCATGGGGTCCTCACTTCTAAGTCACTCATCTGTCCCTTTCAGTGGCCATGCAGTATAGCAGATCCACACACCCTGCTGTGTGACATTTCCTCCAAGCGTGTAGGTAAGAGGAAGACCTAGAAGCCTTGGGCTTGTGGTAGGTCAGCATGGCTGCACAGTAGCAGCCAGGCAGGACCTGGCACTCCCAGCAAAGTGACTGGTTGGTCCCTGGTGGCCATACAACACAGGACATGAATAGAACCTTTTCAAAGAAGGATGCAGTTGAAGAAATTCAATGTGATATCACAGATGTGGTTCTAATGCAACACTCCTAAATGAAGAAGCTTCTGAAGCCATTCACATTCCCAAGCCCCTTCCATAGGATAACCAGATATTTCTAGTCCAGGAAACCTCAGCATGAATAATCATGAACAGAAAAAATAAGCTCTATCCATACAGAATTATAAGAATAAAAAGAATGAGAATGAAAATTTTTTAGTAGGTGTAAAGACAAAAAAAAAAGCAGGAAAAAGTGGATACAATACTACAATGTGACTTGAATATATAATTAAACAAGAAGTTGCACTGGGAACTAGAAACTCCAATTAGAATGGAATTCCATTAGAATGGAAATGACCAGTGTGAAGGAAAGATATTGAAAGAAAAGACAAATCCCCTCAAAAATGAGATGCCCAAGGATCAGTAGATATAATTAGGGTACCCAAAGATCAATAGGTAGGATCGATTCTTCCTTCCAGGGAAAGACACTGAAGATGAACATGAAAAGACAAAAAGAAAAGAAAACCAAAATAAATAAGTAGGTTAGGAAGATCAGAAAGTTGGTAAATGCAGTAGCTGAGTAGGAAAGATCCAGTATATGTAAAATTGGAGCTTCCAAGAAACACGATGCCAGCAGTGAAACAGAACTAATATTTTAAACTTGTAATTCAAGGGGGCCCTCTTAAGTAAAAGAAGAACTGAATCTACATATCAGAAGAGGGTCTGGGAAAAATACTCCAGAGCAGTAGACTTGGATGCACATCTTTGTTGAACTGTTAGATTTTCAAAATGAACATTCTGGGAACTCAGGCAAAAAGGCTGAGTCATTTATGAAGGAAAAAAAAGTCAAATCAATGCTTAGTAGCATACAAAGGAAAATCAAAACTAATAGCAACAAAGCCATGTGTTCAAAAATCTCAAAGAATGGGGCGCCTGGGTGGCTCAGTTGGTTAAGTATGCAACTCTTGGTTTCAGCTCAGGTCATGATCTCAGGATCCTGAGATCCAGCTCTGCATTCAGTGGGGAGTCCGCTTGAGGATTCTCTCTCTCCCTCTCCTGCTACCCCTCTCCCAACTCATGCTCTATCTCTCAAATAAATAAGTAAATTTTTGTTTTTTGTTTTTTGTTTTTTGTTTTTGTTTTTGTTTTGTTTTGTTTTTTAATCTCAAAGAAAGAGCTAAGTAGGGAGATCCTAGGGCCCTCAGTGAGGAGGCAAGGGTGGCGGCTGGCATTAGCAGGGCCTCCCAGGTGGGAGAAAGAAGCCCAGGGCTCATTCTGAGAGTGACGGAGAGCCATTGGAGGGCCTGTCAGGAGGAGAAGGACATTCTCCGGAGGAAGGGGTTCTGAAGCAGGGTTGGGAGAAGAGGAGATGGGCCAGGATAGTGCAGGGCATTGGAGGTGGAGCCAAGCAGGGCACACAGAGAGGGTCTTGGGCACATTCTGGAGTCAGCACAGGCAGAACTTCCGGATTGGATGTGAAGGGTTTGGGGATAAGGGCAGAACAAGAATGATGCCCGGGAGCCTGAGTCTCGGTGCATCTACAGAGATGGGCGAGTCTGAGAGAGAAGCAGGTCTGGGGGACGTTGTCTGTTGTCCTGCCCCCGGGTTCAGGACAGAGGAAGCTTCCGTGTTTGCCAACATTCCCGTCAGTCCCATTCGATGTGAGTCAGGTCTGTGTTCCCAAGGTCTCTGGGCTCCCTTGATGCTCCAGCTCTGTCTTGGGTGATTCCAGCCAGACCCCATTTTCTCTTTGTCTTACTGACCGTCACCTTCCCTGTCTCCGCAGCTGTAAAGGATCGGGCCGGAATGTGGACATGACCAGGGTGCACCCCGACAGCCAGGGGCGGCGGCAGCGGCCAGACCAGGGGGCACAGGGAGGCCAGGTGTTCTACAACAGCGAGTACGGGGAGCTGGAGGGGCCACACGATGAGGGCGACTGCCCCCCGTTGGCCCGCACTCCCTTTTTCACCGACAACAGTTACTGAGTCAGTCCTGGGCAAGGCCCCCAAGACCTCAAGTCTAACCGTTGGTGGGGGCCACGCCTGGCTGAAGGCCCAGGCTGAGAACTCTTCTCCCTCAGCTTGAACCATGAGGTGTTTCCTCCTCCCTACTTAGGAAGAGCCAAACCCAGGCTCCAGGGGCTCCCCTAGACTCCATCACCACACGTGACCCAGGCCACCTTGTGACTCCTCCAGGGCCTTCGTCCCTCCAGATTCAGATTCCATTCACCCCCACATCTACAGGGCATCCTGATTGCCTCCTCCCACCATGGTGGGTGGTAGCATGATCCCCATCTTCTGAGGAGGACACTGAGGGTCTGTGAGTAACAGAGGTGGGGGTGGAGCCAACATGGGCTGGGGTCTCCAGGTCCCACACCACTATCCTGTGGAAATGGCTTTCTTGCCTCTCTGAAGCTGAGGTCAGGTGCCATATTTCCATCTCAAATAATAGATGAGGAACTGGAGGGGTAGGGTGTCCTCTCCTGAGCCTGGCCAGACAGCTCACCCTCCCGGGGGCCATGGTCTGTGCAGTGCCAGGCGTCACTGTGTACCTCCACTGGGTGTTGACAGCTCTTCTTCTTCTTCTTTTTTTTTTTTGTTTTTGTTTGTTTTTTTTGACAGCTCTTCAACAGATGATTTTTCATTAGAACTTCAGAGACTGGGCTGCTGTGAAGAGTTTCTCTTTCAAAACTTTAGTCTGAGGGGGGCCCAGGGAAGCTTTTTGTGAATTTAGATGATTCTTGCCTCTGAACCCCGCCCCAGTCAGGTGCCCACATAGCACAAGCCTCTCTGGCCTCACCTGCCTGGCCCAAAATTGGAAGAAGCACCTGATGGTCCAGAGCTGAGAAATGCCTGGTTCTTCCCCCTGGATCTGCCACCCAAGGCACCTTCCAAGCTGTGAATAGCCTTTTGAGAAGCAAACACCGTGGGACCCACTGAGGAAGGTCTCTAGTGCTGGCCCAGAGGAACCAGTGACATTGCTCTGTGCCAGGAGGCTGTCAGCAGGTGTTCTTGTGGCCCTGGGGGTGCCTGCGTTCTTCCCCCCGGTCTGTGCCTGATGGTGCCCTGGCCGGCCAAGCCTCTGCTCTCTCAGGGAGCAGCCCAGGGCCCTCTGGAGGCTGGAGCTGTTCTGCCCAGGTCCCCTCCCCAGTACAGCACCTACTGCCCAGTTACCCCTACTCCCAGCTGGAGAAAGACCCTTCTCCAGATAGCACCATGAAAGTGGACAGTCCCTCCACCCTCGCCATGAGGCGCTTGCAGGACAGGCGGCCGTGCAGCGAGCAGGGGCTTGCCGCAGAACCCCCCACCCCTCTGCCTGCTGTGTATTGTTCCTTTGAGATATGTCGAATGCACGTGTGACATCCTCACTGTCTCCAGTGGCCCTCCTTCTCTGATGTCACCTGGCCAGGAGACAGAGGTCTCAGGTTTACATGGTCGACATTCCAAGGCTGTTCTTAAGCAGAAGAGCAAGCTTCATGATGCAGGTGCAGGGGCGGTGCCCTGGAACCCTCCCTCCATGCATACCACCTATGTCACCTCTCTTCCTGTCACGTAACTGCACACACAAAACTGTACTGGGAAGAAAACCGACCACAGCCTTGTAGACCGTATGTTCTGAAAATATCTAAAGTATTTAACAAAAGATAATAATAAATTTGATGCCAGTCTTTGAGTTACGGTGAATGGGTTCTCCGCTAGCTGCCGGGGAAGGTTGGACTCCAGGCTCCCTCCCACGGGGTCGGCAGTCCCCGGAGGCCACCAGCAGGGGGCGCGCAGGAAGCCTTGTTCCCCAGCCTGGCCTGCTGCAAACCTGTCCTGATGTGAAGGGCCATGGCTCTCTGTCCCTGCCTGTTAGAGCCAAATGTGGCCTCAGGCCCTGAGGACCTGTGACTCATGGCCGGGGAGCACGGCCCAGGCTGGGTCGCTGCCACCGGGCCCCTGAGTTTCACTGGGCCTAGCGGGTGCCTTCGACCACCCCCATCGGCACACAGGGACAGCCCACAGGGGTGCCACGAGCACCTGGGTCACCTCCCCAGTCAATTGTGTGCCTGGCCTCTGAGGTCAGAAAGGTCTGAGCTGGGATCCCAGCTTCAGTCACCCCCAGACTGAGGCGTTCCAGCCAGGCAGGTGTGGCAGGGCCCTCCACAGCTCTGCCCTGCTGTGCTTGTGTGATTTCCCATCATAGGCGAACGCCTGGCTTAGAGGTGGCTGCAGACTGAGGCATGACACTAGCCATATGGATGTGTCCCAGCAGCAGGGGTTCAGAAGGGAGAGCAAGCCATGTCCCCTAGACTTCGCTTCAGGCTGGACCTAGGGATGTGGAAAATAGGCAGGGGACACCTCACCCAGGGAGCAGACCCTGTGGGCAGGCCTTATGCCTGCCCTGTCCAGGCCTTTCCAATGTTGGGAAACCTGGGTGCCTGCATTCCTCCTCGGGCTCTGATGCCCACTGTCCTGGCTTTATTTTTGACTCTAGTGGGAAGAGCCCCTCCCCACAAAGGCACCTGTATGGATGGGTCTGTTGTTGTTGCTTCCATAATAAGTCTTATCTAAATGTGAATACAGAAAAGAATACACACACCAATTAGCTTTAGGCATTTCAACTTTATCACATTATGGGTTGGATGAAGCCACTTTTCCTGGAGAGATACGTCAATCCGGGTGTCAGCCATCAGGATGCCTCCCTGGTTGCCCAGAGCACGCCCACACATGAAGGAAAGCACCACTGTGCCCTGTTCCTGGCAGGGCTGTGCTCACATTTCTGGGCTCCTCTGTCCTACCTGGCTGAATGCTCAGGGCTGTACTCAGTGTCACAAGGTCCCAGCCCTGCCTCACTCCCCAGAGCACCAAGGTCTACAGGTGTGAATGGGAACTCAGTCCACACTGGGGCCATTGGGGCATCCCATCAGTGTGTTCCCACCTTGGGAACCTCTCTGCCCCAGCCCCACACTCCTGTGAGTCGTGGCTCACCTTCTTTAGGGGGCATGGGGCCAAGGCCCACTGGAGTGTCCTTTGATGCTGTTTGTTACATCTTGACACCCATCTGACAGCCAAGGGAGCCACACATCATCCTAGGTCATGGGGCACACAGAGTCTCAGTCCCACAGAACTCACAGGCCAGAGTCCATGCTGTAAGGAGTGACACTGGGCAGAGCTAGGCCTGGGAGGAAGAGTGATAGCGAGGCTCAGCTCAGAAGGAAGGTGGGGTAGGAGTGGCAGGGGCATCTCATGGGGCCTGGGAGCCCAAAATTACGAGGTGACCTCTTATTTTAAGGCCAGAGGAAAGTTTCGAGGAGGGACTGATGTGCTCTGACTTACATTTCAGTTCTTGAAGGAGCAGAGTGGGGCCTCCTGGGAAGCAGGGCCCAGATGGGAGGAGAGATGCTGGGCTGCCCCAGGCTGGGCTCTGAGCTGGAGGAGAAGATGTTCTGGGGGACACAGGAGCAGAGGAGGAGCTCGCTGTGAGCTGGGTCCCTGACCAGATTGGTTATGCAGGAAAAACAACAAAAAACGCTTTTCCTATGTGGTCTTCTACAAAAGTGGGTTCCCAGACCTGCTGCACCCCCGTCACCGGAAGCCCAGAGCATTCCCAGCCCAGCAGCCAAAGTGCCAGGGGCAAGCCAGGACACAAACCCTGACCCACACCCGAGGCTCTTCCTGGCTTCCTCAGGCCCAGGAAAGTGCCGAAACCCAGAAGGGAGAAGAAAAAGTTCAGCAGGAAAGGAGTCGCTAGTCGAAATCAGGTTTACCAGGCAGGGTGGGCCTTTGGGGAAGAGAACAGGCCAGGGCGGTGGGAAGTCTGTCTTGAGAAGGATTTGAGTCAAAGTGGTGTTACCAGGGGGAAATGCAGCCCTGGCATGAGGCTGACCTGGGAGTCAGGGGGCACCCTCTGTGGATCTGCTGCTCCTTATCTAGGGAGCCCCTGGAGCCGTCCCACTGCAGGCGGCAAGTGGGCCCCATGCTGGGCCGCAGGCGGGTGCACCTCGGGCCCTTTGGAGCCAGTCTGCAGGGAGACATAGAAACCCTATTACTTTCCTGCCAGAGCTGGACCAGAGGTGGCAAAGGTTGCCATAATGCAGGTGTCGGGGGTGGGGGTAATCCTGAAGGGTGACTGCGGAGAGGGAAGTGTGGATTTGGAAGGTAAAGCAGCATCCTGGAGGGCCTCAGCTGCCCTCCGTGGGGCGCAGGCTCTAGAAAGCCAAGTGGGTGCGGCTCCCAGGGTGACATCTCTGCACTGCCCTGGACGTGGCCAGAAATCCATCAGAGATGGTTTGGGTGGGGCCGCTGGGGAGACCAGTGGTTGAGCATCTGCCTTTGGCCCAGGGCGTGATCCTGGGGTCCTGGGATCAAGGCCCACATCAGGCTCCCCACAGGGAACCTGCTTCTCCCTCTGCCTGTGTCTCTCTCTCTCTCTCTGTGTCTCTCATGAGCAATCTTAAAAAAGAGAGAGAGAGATGGTTTGGGTGCAGTGGGCAGCCAGGCATTGCCCTCCCCTCCTTCCTAGCTGCCCTTCCCTGGGGTGCAGCCAGGTGTCAAGGTCCCCCCATGGCCTCCGAGAAATGGGAGTAGCAGAAGGCGATTGTTACTAAAACCCCTTGAAGCTGCTGAATCAGCCCCTGGCAGGCCTCTCCTTGTACGGCAGCAAGCACCTCTCTGTGTTGGTGGGGCCCTGATCCAGAGTCTGGGCTGGTATATCCCGCTGGGATACGATCCACCTCCCACCCCTCACTGGGTGCTCCCCGCCCCAGCGCTGCTCACTGGGGGACTTCCCAGTCCTGAGGGACACCTGGCATGGGGGCGGCCCAGGGAACTAGACAGACCCACCCACTGGCCAGACCTCAGATGGGCTGCTGATGTTCTCGGGGCTACATGTCTTCTGACCTAGGAGTGTGGTACTAGGCACCCCTTCACCCCACACCATCCCATTTAGGGAACCACCACCAGCTGCATTTTCGGTCCCAGGATGCTGGGGCCCCACGCTAGCCCAGGCCAAAATGGGAAACCGGGGCCTGGTTGCACAGGATGTGAGTCAGCCGGCTGCTGGGGCCAGCAGGCGCTCGGAGCAGCGAGCCCCCCAGAGCCCGTGTCACGGTGGGCGGCTCGGGCCGCAGGCCTGCCAGGGCAGCTGCCCGGGAATCCGGAGCTGCAGGTCTTGCATCAGCCACGCGGGCCAGCCTTGCCACGCACTGCCACTGACGCCTCCGGCCACCCGGCAAACCCCGGGCCGGCGGCCGGCCTTGCCCGCCCTCCCCTGCAGCGGGGCTTGGCGGGACGCAACCCTGGTCAGGGGAGGGGCAGAAGGAAGTACTCGAAGAGGCCAGATCAATACTGACCCGAGAGGAGGCCCCGTGGAGCCAGGGACACTTCCCAGAGCCGCAAGGCGCCAGGGCCCGGAGGTCCAAGCTATGAGAAAGAGGAAGGAGCCTGACGGGAGGTGGGGCGAAGGCAAAGCTTCGGGGGTCCCCTGGGCAGGACACCACAGCCCTCGGGTTCGGGCTCCGCAGCCAGCCTGCTCCTCTCAACGCCACTCGAAGCCCTGCGGGGAGGAGCCCTGGCCACGCCCACCTGTCCTCGGGTGACCGGGTGACCGGGTGACCGCTGGAGGCCGAGGCGGAGAGCGGGGCCTCTCGGTTGGCGGGCATGGCGGAGGAGACAGGATGGCCATGGCCTTTGGGGGTCTCTGAGACCAGGCTGCCGTGGGGTGGGGTGGGGTCCCAGGACCCAGGAGCCCCTCAGGGCTGCCCATTCCTGGGGGGGAAAGGAACCCAGAAAGAATGAGAAGGGCAGCGTGGGCACCGCTCCCAGGCTTGTGTGCGCACAGGCTGCGCAGGTGCAAACAGGGGGTTCAGGCTGGGGGTCTGTCCTGAGCCTGGCAACACTGCCAGGGCTGGCCTCGGCGGCCCCCAGATGCGCGTGGCCATCAGGGGACCCCATGACAGGGAGCTGTTGTAGAAAAAGCAAAAGGTTGCTATGGCAGACCCCCCAGACCCAGGGCCTCAGCCTGCACCCGGGGCTCGACCCACCCACAGGTGTGGGGGGCGGGGCTGGGCGTCCACCTGCCCAGAGTACCATGCTCCTTGCTAGGGGACAGAACTGGTGTCAGGGCCCACTGCAGCTTGCTCCACTTGCTTAGCCAGGCTAGTAGGCAGGGCTTGGAAATAGAGACGCTGACCTGGCACAAAGGGAATAAGAATAAGGGAGCTCCTGGGATGCCAGGGATAGAGGGGACAGTACATGGTGGCCCCAGCCGGATGTGAAGGGACTATCGCCTGTGTCACAGCACAGGGACGACTGTTGGAAGCCCCTGTCAGTGCTGCTGAAGTCAGAGCCATGGGGCCCCGGCAGACACGGCCCGCTCCCTGCCAGAGCATTGCCAGAGCTCCCTCCCACCCAAGCACCTAGCTCTGGGGTCTGGTGGGCTTCATGGTCCTTCTGCAGCCCAAAAGTCGGTACTTGACCCCGACACCCAAGGCCACCAAAGTTCTCATCCACCTTCAGCACCTCATTCCCAGAAGAGCGAGCCAATGTTTGTTTTGGTCCAAAGGAGGTCCTGTGAACATTGCCCTGGACAGACTGACCGTGTCACCTGCAGGAGTGGCACCTCAGTGTCAGTGGCCCCTCTGGCAGCGGAAGGCAGGTGTGTACTGGAGCCGCTTGGGAAGGCCCA